AACATGTCGTTTAATGATATTGAAGGAACAGAATATGTTTTGACTGAAAATGATGTGTGTGAATATGTAGAGTCGGTAATAATTACATCATGTAAATTACAAATGACAACTGGCTCGACTTTAAAAACAGAAAAGAATTTGGAACTTTCAGAAGGAAATATCACACTCGAATCAAATTGCATTTTGAATGTTACTGAATTGTTGAAAATGGAATATGAAAGTACATGTAATGCAACTGGTAATTCAATTATAAATACCAATCAATTGGAAATTAGTTCATCAACAATAGATCTTTCTGGACATTCCATGCTGAATTCTGTTAGGAATGTCATTTTTAAAACCTCTTTATTTAAACTTTCTGAAAATGCCCGCCTTTTAGTGGAAGGTAATATATCTTTAAGTGGTGGTACATCTCCAAATACACTTTCAGGAAAATCAAGACTTGTATGTTTAAATATGTTTTCAAATAAAGCTAGCAGTCAAATCACAATCAATGAAAATTCATACATTGAGTTGCTTGGCTCTTTTATTTTTAAATTATCTAGAGATTCTTTTCAAATATCGAGTTCAACACAACGAATTAATTTTGTATCAAAATCATTTGAATTGACAAGAGAATTTGTTGTTGATAATCGAAGTACAATTCAAACAGAAAATCTCATTTTAACACTGACAGGCACATTCAAAGTCTCCACAGAGAGAACAATCAAAAATCTTCCACTCTTTTTTGTATCGAACACAACTACAATAACTATGTTAAATGATTTTCAACACAAAGGTGATTTTGACTTTTTATATTCAAACAACACTATTGACACGTTATTATACACAAGCCCATTCAAAGTACTTTTAGATAGTCACTTATTACGATATGGTGATTCAGATAAGATATATTGTCATGTGAACCACACAGAAGACACACAATATCCATATTACATCGAAAGTTATTGCCCACTCACTGATGCATACATCACACCAATTGACACCTTTTATCAAATGAAAGTCAAAGTAGATGCGCCCAAACAGAATTCAATTGTTAAAAGCGCAGAAAACGAAGAAAATGTTATTGTAATTGGAAACCAAAAATACGACCTGTCACTCACCGAATTTATTGAGATTGAGATGGAATCCGACAAACTAATTGTTTTAGATAATATTATGATAACAAAAAACATGTTTTTTGTTGCAGCGAATGGGTTTGAATACAACAACACGTCGTGTAAGTTGGGGTATTTCCAAAACGGCTTTTTCATCTGTCAAAATCATTTACCATGTTCAAATGGTGGTAAGACCACTGATGGAAGATGTGCAGCATGTCAAGTCATAAATTGTGTGATGTGTGATGGCGATAAAGGCAAATGTATGAAATGCAAAGAGAATTTGACATATAATACCAATACAAACACATGTGAAGAATACACAAACTGCCTTTCATTTACAGAAGACAAGTGTCTTCGATGTAATGATGGCTTTGTATTTGAAGGTAACAATTGTGTTGATATCACCAAAGACAACCGAAATTGCCAGATAAAAGTCGGCGTTCCATCAGAGTGCAGATTGTGTGATTTAACAAACACGACATTAATCAACAGCAATGGAGTTTGCAGTGTTGTCAACAGCAATGTTGCTGTTCACAGTCTTTCTAATGTGTGGTTTAATGCAAAGATGGGTTTTATGTACAAGACAACATGTGTAACAACTGCACAATTAACAACGAAGGAAGTTTGTTGTGTTCATTTAAAAACACCGAGAAGTGTGACAAAACGTATTATGTGAAAGAAGATGGCAGTGTCTGTGTCAAAAATGTGTGTTCAGAAGGAATAAATAACGAAGAAAATGGGAAGTGTGCACCACAAATAGACAACTGCATAAAGTATGTGAATGGCAGGTGTGTCGAATGTTCTTCAAAGTACTCATATGATGGCAATGTGAGTTGTGTTGAGCCATCAACAGTTGATGTGAACTGTGGAATGGCAACTCCGGTTGGGTGTATCAGATGTGATGGAAATACCTTCCTGAATGTAATGACACACAAATGTGAGACGTGCAACTCAAATTGTGAAAGTTGTTTGGATTCAACTAAGTGCCTGTCATGTGTAGATGGGTACTTTTTGAGTAACCACATCTGCAAATCGAATGACGCTTTGAATGACACTTGTGCACGAAAAGTACCAAATGGGAACGGCTGTTTGGTTTGCAAAGTTGGGTATTACAAGAAGGGAGCAGATTGTGTGCTGTGTGATGTCAAGTGTGGTGAGTGTATGACAGAGAACTCGTGTATTAAATGCAATGCAACAAACTACAAAACGAGTAATGGCGATTGTCTTCCGCGCTCTTCGATATCGACGTGTGCCGTTGAAGTGACTGAAAGTGGCTGTTCATGTGTAAAGACGGGTATTACACAGTCAATGGAAATGAGTGTCAGAAGTGTGTTGAAAGGTGTGCAAAGTGTTCAGAACAATATCGGTGCACATCATGTGATGACACATTTGTGCTCAAAAGCACCAGTTGTGTGAGTTATAACACCATCACAAAGTGCACAAAAACAAAAGATTCAAAATGTTCATCATGTACATTTTGGTATTCACCGAGTGACGATGGCACATTTTGTTCGAAAACGGCAGTGTGGTGGGTGATACTTCTTATAGTTGTTGTTATCATCGCCATTCTTGTGTTGGTCACAGTGTTGGTCTTCTTTGTAATGGTTAAAGTCATTAAGAACAAAAGAGATACCAGTGGACTCACACTCTTCAAATTAAAGCACACAAATATGACTTTTGTTGAGATGGCAGACGGTCTGACAATTCACACCAGAAATGAAGGATTTGTGATCACCGACGATGACTTGGACGAGGACAAAATTGATGTCAACAAAGAAATTAAGAATCTGTTTTCTATTGGCAACACAACAAACCATAAAGTCAAGATTCAGTTCACTTCTAAAACAAATGAGAAGTACTATATTTCATTTTACCCACAGATAATAACAATTCCTCCAAATTATGGGTGCGAGTTCAGTCTCTTTTTGACGCCACTGTGCAACTCGACTATGGACAGCAGTTTTGTGATCAATTATTTTATCTTTGCAAATGACTCCGAAACGTGTACACATCAGATGGACTTTAAGTACATCACCAAAATATCAACACGACTTGATCCAGACAGTTTAATTGAAGAGAAACAAATCAGTGTAGGCTCTTTTGGTGTTGTCTTCAAAGGAAAATTGGGAAGGAATACAGTTGCTATCAAAAAGATGAAAAACGCCACCGACTCAAAAGACCAAATGGCTGAATTTGAGAAAGAAGTGTCAATGCTTGATAAATTTAGGTGTGATTATATCGTCCACTTCTATGGCGCCGTATTTTTTTTTCAACAAGATATGTATGGTCACTGAATTTGCTGAGTTTGGGTCTGTGTGTGATATGTTGAAAAACAAAGACGCAAAAGATGTGGATATGAAATTGCGAATCAAAATGTGTTTAGACGCAACAAAGGGGGTGTCTTATTTACATAAAAATGGAATACTTCACAGAGACATCAAACCAGACAATGTATTATTATTTTCATTGAATCCAAACGATGTTGTGAACGGCAAATTGACTGATTTTGGATCAAGCAGAAATATTAACATGATGATGACTAACATGACATTCACAAAAGGTATCGGAACACCAATTTACATGGCACCTGAAGTGTTAAATAAAGAAAAGTATAAAATGCCTTGTGATATTTATTCACTTGCAATTTCATTCTTTGAAATCATTGGATGGGCAGAACCATTTCCTAAAAAGAGGTTCAAACATCCATGGGAAATAGCAAACTTTATCGGGAAAGGAGACCACCTCACTTACAATGAAAACTTTGGCATTGAGACACAAGAAATGATAAACTCTATGTGGGATATCAAACCTAAAAAACGAATTTTATGCGACGAAATTGTGAAAAGACTCGAAACCATTTTTTCCAAATTCCAATAAAAATGTTTGAGAAAGACAAAAACAATTAACTCACTGTTTTTAAAATTTGTTTTGAATATTTCAAACTTTGTGTTTCAAACTTTTTAACAAATTTTCCTGTATAAAACACAAAATATTGTTCAAAGTGTTATGAAATATACAAAAATTTAATTATATATTAAAATGGAAAAGCAACAAAGTGTGCTGTACACCAATAATTGGATTGTTAGATGTTTTTAAAAATAACAATGACACTTATTAATTTTTTAAAAAAATAAAAAATGCAATATATTCACCATCTGATTGGTATTGTTTTGGTAAGGCAATTGGATGTGATAATTATTCCAAAGCTTCACATTATATTTTGAATAATTTTATACACAAAAAAGTAGAAGTTGTGGCAATTTTGATTTAATAATTCACACCTTAAAAGAAGATAAAGATAAAACTTTAAACTATAGAATCACTGGAAATCCCATTTTTAATTAATTAACAAAATACTAAAAATGGAAATTATATTATTTTTGTAAAAAATAAAATCTGACATAAACTCAGTTATTATCACCCGTTGTTTTTTATATTTGTAAAAATATGATGTATATGAACATTTTGTTTTTTTATTAAAATAAAAACGGAAAAACAAATCCCTAAATAACAGTATGGAATGTGTACAAACGTGAAACATAAGATTAACACACAACAAATACATTGTGTGTAACAATATAAAAAACAAAGCTGCTGTTACAAACAATGGTTGGGTGTACATTTTTTATTTTACAAAGTTATAAAT